TACTAATAGGCTACTAATTATTATTTATTTTTATATTTATGAAGATTATTATTTTAGTTAATTAAAAGGGGCTTTATAGAATATTTTAAAGGTTTGTAAATTTAAATTTTATAAAAAATTAATTCTGATTTTTTTAGGCCCAGAACGGCCTGTTCCGAAAAGCGGAACGGGCTGTTCCCAGAAAGCGGAACGGGCGTTCCAAAAAGCGGAACGGCCTGTTCCTAAAAGCGGAACGGGCGTTCCAAAAAGTGGAACGGGCCGTTCCAGATAAACAAAATGGCCTAAAATCCAAAGTTGAAAATGGGCCATTCTCCTTATGGTCAACCTGTGTAAAAGTGAACTCCAGAACGGGCCGTTCTAATTTTAGAATGAGCCGTTCTGCTTTTTGGAAACGGGTCGTTCTGATTTCAGAACGGGCCGTTCCAGTTGAGAAATTTACGTATATTTGAAGGTTTCGGAACGGGCCTTTCCGAAATCAGTACGGGTCGTTCCGGGTACGCCAGAATGCCTATAAATAGGAGGCTTGGGCTGTGAAAAAATTATAACTTAGTGAGAAGGTGAAAATCTTAGAGAGAGAAAAAGAGAGAGAAAGAGAGAGAAAGAGAAAGAAAGAGAGGGAAAGAAAAGGGAATCCAGAGGGGGAGGTCCTGCCCAAGTTTTAGCTCCTACTTATCCAGGTAAGGGGGAGGAGAACCTTATCTCTTTAAAATTTTATATACTTTTATGTTATTTTTTATGTATATTTATTTAGTGGGGTGTCCCTAACCTCATTTTATGTTATTTTTTATGTATATTTATCTAGTGAGGTGTCCCTAACCTCATTTATTTGCTTAACCTTTGATTATTTTGTCTATAATAATTTTTTTTTTTTTTTGATAATCAAACAACGTTTTATTTAAGAAACAAGAAACTAAGAGTACAAGGAAACTTTCACCATACCCAATTACAAAAAACTTGAAAAATAATGGTATGGCTCATTAAGCCAATTTACAAATGGAATGCTTCCATGACTCATTCCTGCTGTCAACCACTTCCATGCTCTATATTTAGTAGATTCAACTACTTCAAGCACATCACACACTCCATTATTGAACACCATTTTATTCTGGTGTAGCCACAAACTCCACACAGTTGCAACCCAAATAGTCACAACAACACGAGAAGATTTTTTTCCAACAACAAAGCCACTCATAGTCAGCAATTGACCTTCCACAGAACCTGATAAACATGATGAAAAACCCAACCATCGACATAATACCAAACTGAGCTAGCAACATCACAATGTAGAAACAAGTGTGTCACATCCTCGTCCATGTTATTACAAAACACACAATCCTCATGAATAAACAACACTCCTCGCCGCACTAAAGCTTGATGCACAGGCAATGAATGGAGTAATAATTTCCAAGCAAAAACCATACTCTTACGCGGTGCCTTGGTTTTCCATATACGCCGCAATGCCAACATTACAACCTCATCCACACCACCACACCTGTATTATAGAAAGAGTACACAAAATCTTATGTCGATCGCACTGTGAATGCTTTCGATGAGTCACACTTTCATAACCATAAATCCTCCATGTGCACCTTAGGTTGGAAAAGCTCAATAATTTCCTGTAGTTCATGAGCAAGATCAATTTCCCTTTGCAATAATAAAGGTCGACGCCAAACCAAGGCCCAATTCCACGATGACCCATCAAAGCTTCCATTTTCAGCTATCAACGATTCCTTATTCATTGCTAAAGAGAACAAACGAGGGAAGACATCTGCAAGAGTTTCATCACCCAACCATTATTTATCTATCCAAAACCGAATCGTTCTACCATCACCAAGAATACGACTTCAATTTGACAACAACCAAAAGCCCACTTGGTGACGACCACCGCCAAATCCCTCCACCAAATCGATGCTTTCGAATCCACCACCACCAAGGTTAGCAAAGAGGAAAATGAACCATACCTTGCTCTCACAACTTGGACCCACAAAGATTTAGAATGTGTTAGACCACACCACATCCATTTCCCCCAAAAGACTCTAATTAAACCATTCAATGTTTTTTACCCCCAATCCACCTTTCTCTATAGGTCTACACACTCTATCCCACTTCACCCAACATATTTTTGAAGATTCCCTCACACCACTCCACAAAAAACGGCGTTGAATTTTCACCATATCCTTTATAACACCGAGAAATCTATTTTTGAAGATTCTAATATATAATACCTTTATTTAGTTTAAAGATATTGACTTTACACTCCAAAAGTTTGGCCAAAATCTGAGTTATACTCGAAAATTTTCAATGCTTTTTGACCCCATTGGGTACAATTACTGGGATTATGTTGATGCCTGGAATAAAAAATTTTGGTATCAAAATAAGACCAACCGCCATTCGTGGCTAATATATTTCAAAAGGAAATGTGCACTTGTGCATTGGGATAGATTTCTATTAATCATTTTTAATTGTACACGTGTATATAAATGGATCTATAATGTGCATTGAATGTGAGGTTCAATGATCAACGTTAACCAGCTAATGGGGTTTTGCTGTGGCTTGATTCACTCCCTGGGCCCTTATGGTATGGTAGGTGAAGGTTCTGTTTCATTATGTGCTAATTATAAGAATAATTGCGTAACACTTATGACTAATGATAATAGAAAACGACAAAGCCAAATGTTAGTTGGTTCCTTTGTTTAGGGTAACAAACATGAAAAGGCTATTTAGCTTTTGGTTAGAGAATCCATACCCTACATACACAGGGAGAAAAAAAAATAATTAATTTTACATAGATTAAGAAATTTATTAAATGTATTTAGTTTGTATTATTTCCCATAAAATATGTATTATATTTTTTAAAATATTCTTAATTACATTTATAATAGATAGTACTATCATTTATTACTATAAAGATTTTTTTGGATTAAGAATATTAAATAATGTTAACTTGATTAAAATTTAATCCAAATTTTTTAAGTATTTTATATATAAGTAAGGAGGAAGTCCCAAATGTTTTTAAAGTTTATAAGTAAGCAAATATAGTTGTTTAAATGAAATCGTTGCTTGTTATAAGAAATGTAGGCGATAGCTACATGTGATTGTGAGAATTAATCTATTGGAAGAGTGACCTTTTTGCATAAAACGAATAAGATGTTGACACATCATTGTTACATTAATGAATATAACGCCTAATTTTATAAGCATTAATTAGTAGTTATGTGTTAATGTTTTGTCAAATTAGTAAATCCTAGTTAAATACAATAGTTTTACAGAAAAAATATTATTTTTATTTATCAAAATTATAATAATGGCGGGTTCGAATTTAGGATCTAAATATAATATTAGAAACTTAATATAATTTTTTGAATTGTGTTAAAAATTTAATATTAAAATATTGTTACAAACTTGCTTTCAATATAAACATGTTATATACACAAATCATTTCACTTGAAATTTTTTTTTGAATAAAATAAAACATAATATTCCAAAATCAAGTTTAAGTTTATAGGTTTTTATGTTATTCAACAATTACAACTAGTGACAGGTGCAAAATTAAAAAGTAGTGGGTCTAAAGAGTATGGAAATATCAAAAAATGAATTATCCTTTTTATGTAAAATTTACCATTATCAGTAAATAAGAAAGTACCGTGGCATTAAAATAGTTAACTTTGACAATAATGGAAGCTCACATGTAAAAACATGACAATAAATAATGGCACCACCTACTTTTTTTTTTAAGAAAATAATTTGTCAAGTTTCATCAATAAATCATGCAATGAAGAAACATAATAAATACTTAAAAAAATATTAATAATAGTATAATAATGCTAATTTTTTTATAAAAAAAAAAAAAAAGCATCGAGTGACGTGTTGAGAAACATTATTGACCTTTAATAAAACTAGTGACTTTGCATTAAAACAACAAAACGCCAAAACCGTTGCTAATTATCAAAGAAAAAAAAGTGGAAACGGCGCGTTTAAAGTTCAAAGTTCAAAGAGATTATAGTGGAAAATTTAGAAGAACACAAACAGAAGATGCGGGTGCCAGCTGTTCAACCACTTTGCTTTCTTCTTCTTCCTCTGTTTGGTCAGTTAGGGTTTCATCGCTTTCACTCTCTTCACTTCGCACAATGCACTTTTAGGGTCACTCAACACACCATCGCAATTCCTCCAAAAAATTCTAACAAAAACACACAGTTTTAACTAGAGAACTCCACACGTGGGGGTAGTTTTCTGTCACGTGTGCGGTACGAGGTTCTGTTTCCCGTGTTTTTTTTTTTTGTTGTTGCTGTATTCTATTTTTTTTTTAGTTTTTACTTTTTTTTAATTAATTTAAAGCTACAGTTTTTTTATTTACTGTATATTTGGTAAAGTGATATTTGATTTTTTTTTTTTTTTTTAGCTTTTCTGTGTGGAGTTACGATAGTTGGTACTCTTTGTGTGGATGTGAGATTCTGCCACAGTGTTTGGTTATGGCTTTAGTGACCATATTGATTTATTTTTAATGTTATGTTTCTGTGATTCAGATGTCACTTTTTGAATTTATTGCATTTTGTTAACTAAGGTGAAGTTTGTGGTTTAAGTTGATTGCTCAAAATAGCTTTACTTGTTCACTGTATGTTACTTTTTCTTTCGGTGGTTGGAATAGTGATGTTCGCTCTATTTTGTTTAGATGGTGAATGTGGATTTCGTTTTCTTCTTCTGATTGTAGGGTTTTCATGGTGGTGCTCTTGTTGTTGCAAGTGGAATTTGGTCTCCATTGAGTGTTGTTGAATTATTCAGCTTTGGGGAATTGTGAATTGTTTTGGATGTATTCGTTCATTTTGTTTGGGTGATTTTGGTTGGTGACTTGGCTAGTGATCAAAATAGGTTGGATTGGCATTCGGAATTGGGTTCATTGTGATATTCTGAGAAAATAGCTAAAACGGGGTCGCTTTGTTGTGTGGCTTCAAGGCCACATGGATCAAATGCTGGCAGTAGGGACTGGTCCATGGGTCCAAATGAGCCCTATTGGCGGACAAATTCGAGTTTTTCGCCGCCGCCGACGAGGTGGGATTTCAGATTCCAGTCTGAGGGGATGCCGTATAGTGTGAATGATGGCATTCAACTCTACGGGTCTTCTACTACGTCTTCAAATGGTAAGGAAAGTAGGGGCTGGGTCAGAGGCAATCACCTGTATGATCTTCACTATTCTGCTTCAGATGGTACTGGGATTTTCCTTAGCAGTCCTTCTGACCTTTCTCAGGGTCCTCAGTGGACACCTCCTGCAATACAAGAAATCAGTATTGACAATTATGAAACGTCAACCAGGAAAGGTAAATCTTTATGTATGAATTTTTAAAATAGTATGCTGTAGACATTTATAGACCACATTTAGCACTGTGAACAAGATATGACTTCATACAATCTATAAGATTGATATATGGACTTATTCTATCTCTCTTTTTTTTTTTTTTTCTCTCCTTCTCTAAACTTATTGCACATTTTTCTTTCATACATAGTTATTATATAAACAAATTGGACATTCAAATAGAGAGGGGGCAGCAAGCCAGCAAAGTGTTGAGGTTGATGCATGTAATTGTTCCTGCTCATGATAACCTGTCGCCAGCTGTGTTTGACTAATTTTAGCTTTTAATTATTTGTTTTTTGAATGGTAAATGATGTAAAACAACCATTTAGATAACGATACGGGGAATTAGCAGAAATTTAAAATTTTAAATGTAAAATTAAAAATAAATATGAAAAAAGAAAACCTGAGTTTGCATATTCTGGACAGATGATTTAGGGTTTGGGCCAACAAATGCTGTATGGTCAATCCGAATTTTTAAAGATCATGAAGGTTGATTTCTTTTTGTTGCTAAGTCATTGTAACATTATGTTAATTGCGTCTTATAATTAAAAATTATAGGGGATTCAGAATCTAACTGCAGTTTAGGTAAAAGGTCATTTACACATAGGGTATTGAATCCTTAATGCTCATAGGACATTGAATCTCTTAGATTGCAGATAAAGTAAGCCTTTTTAATTAATAAAAATATGTAATGGCAATAAATCATCCTGGTGTTCACATTTCCCCCCCTGATTTTTCCCTTTTTAGCTCCCTCAAGTGTATCTGCACACCATATATGACTCCACTTTCCCATTTTTAATTCAAATTCCATTTAATTTAGACATTTTTTCAAGACTATTTAATCCTTTGACTACTCCTTAGTCCTTAAAACTACCCATTTATTTCTCTTATAAATTCTCATGTCAAATTAACTATATTAAACTTTTAAAAAAATAAAATTTGTTAAAAGAAATAAAATATGTTGTTAGACATGCATGTAGTGCTGTTTTTCTTGTTCTATGAGAGTGTTTGTTTCATGGATTAAAATCTCATTCTTAGGAATGTAAACTTGGGGATGTATTATTCCCATTTTTGTTGTTAGTTTTAGAAAAAATATCCCTGGGTATTGTTTATCCCTAAGAAAGTAATTATACCATTATTTAAGTCATTTCTATTCCCATGTTGAAAGGTGGGAAAGTTATATTCCAATGGGAATGTGAAAAATTATTTTCTATTCAAACTATTAACTTCCATTCAACTCTTATTTTTAATTTAAATTATTTTAAAATTTAAAAAATAATCTTAGCAATGTAAAAATCTAGCCAAACATGTTTTTGAATGTTCCTAGGGATAACATTCTTGATTATTGTATTCTTGTGATTGTGATTCTTGAGAATACAATATCAATATTAAAGTAGCAATGTTTAGTAGTAAATCATGCAAAACTTCATACAAGACACAAGTTCTTAAAATAACAAATAAAAAACTAAAACAGAATAATTTTTGCTTTTAGCAATAGAGGGAGTGAGATTGTTCAAAAACAAATTTAATTCTGAGTTGTACAAGTGGGATTGACCAATCTCATAAACTTGGTAGTTGGTAGTTATTACGAGTTATCACTCGAGATTAACAACCATAGCCAAAATAACAGCTTTTCACTTATAGCAGTGCTACCGTGATATTGGCTTCAAAACCCATTTTTACCCCTGAACCTGAAACAATGCTGTATAGGTTTTTTTTGGATAAAATTGTAGTTTCTCCCCCATTTTCTAATGCATTCTTTCCTCCAGAAACATAATAGAATTTGAAACCCTTCCACAAAAAGTTACCTATGTTTTGACTTTTGTTCCTTTACATATTACATAACTATTTTTTTTTTCTTGTGTTCCATTGTTTGTTCTTCCTTTAGACTTCCCAGTTCTCATTCTGCTAATTTTTATCTAATTTGTTATGTTCTTTTTTTATAAATTTCATCATCATCTTTTATTTTTTGACTTCCTTACTATGTTCTTGTTGCTCCTAGATTGATGGTGACTGTGTAAACTGTGACTTATCATTTATCATGAATCTCTTTGAGTGTGGGTTTTTGGTTGTTTTTGAGTATTTGTCTCTTATAAGATATTTCGTTTGAATCATGATGCTTAAAATAGCATTAGTGGTTGTCCTGCTAAAGAATTTTCAGAGTTGGCCACTACTATTCGAGATTGATAACTATGATATTGACTGCCCGATGAAATAATAAAACCCAAACTACGGTCAAAAGTTTATATTGGAGAGGTCAAAAGGTTCTATTGGAGTGCCCATTTATTTACATGACCTTATTTGTCTATGGTGTAGTCAAAGGAAATGTGTTATTTCATTTTGTGTGAATGGTAGTTAATTGTATGTATAATTGCTTGCTTAGGCGTCGGTTGGATTGAAACATGCTTTCTTTGTTTTTATATATTTACTTTTAATTAAAAAATATTGACTTTTTTCACCTTGATTTTTGTTTTCAAAAGTTTGTATGGGAAACAGTGAAAACCAAGGTCACACTTTTGTAATTAAAAGTGGATATAGAAAATGAAAACAGAACTTTTTTTCGATCCAAATGGCCCCTTGAGTTGCTTCAAAGTTCTGTCCTTATCATGTTCCCAACCATCTTGTTGGTTATTAATTATTAAAACAATTTTACTGTTCTTGTCATGTTCTTGCTATAACTACGCTTTTGACATTTAGTTGAAAGCAAGGAAAGAATAAACAATAAACTCCCGTTTGGTCATTTTGTTTGTACTTTGTAGCACTACGGCTTACTTCAAATTGTAGAGAGCTGAAGTACTATCTCTGAATTGTTAGGTCTTCTGTGGTATTCCAACAATGGGAAGCCCATACATAGATAAATCTGGCTTCATAGTGAACCGAGTCATGATTTCTTCTAATTCTGCCTCTAAATGACATAACTTCCTCTTTCTTTCATTAGAGACCCATTAATAAATTTCCTTTCCCGTAATATCATTAGATTCTGAGGATCTTGACTTTGATTATTTGTCTGCTTGTTAATGTGTGTCTAGTCATTGGGGTTAGTGGTTAATGGTTACAATTTAATTGTTGTGATATTAGTAGCAAAAAAACTGTTGTGTTCAATTTTGTTCGTAACTTGTTTGTTGCTACTTCTGCATATTGAATTTGCCTCCTTCTCACTTGTACCTTTGATAGATCCTCATCATTCTGCAGTCCGGGTATCTCTTACTCCCACTAAGGAGGTAAGTTTTTGGTTAAGAACTACTAAAAAAGTTGTTTGCTAGGCAATTAATTAACACGAGTTTGTCTCAAGAAATAGCCTAACCTGTATGAAATATATACAGGGAACATCCATAAATCCCAACAGTGGAGGCTCAACATCGTCTCTGTCAGAAAGTAGCGAATCCGAGTCTACTAAATCACATTTATCCTCTCAGAGGAATTTCTCTAATCTTCGATCTTTCATCTCTAAACCCATTCATCCTATGTCCTTCAATGACCCAACAACAACTAGGGGTGCCTTTGACCCTACTGTTACAGATTTTACAGAGTTTGATAGTTCTACTCCGCTCAGAGATGGCCAGCGTTGGAGTAGTGCCAGCAGTAGTCAGGAGTTTGCAGATGTTACCGAGTCATTTGAATTCGAAACACCCGGCCGCCCACAGTTTCATTCAGATGGCTTCAGATGTGGCTTGTGCGAAAGATTTCTCTCGCAGAGGTCACCTTGGAGCTCCCGGCGTATTGTGAGAAGCGGCGACATGCCTACAATTGGAGTTCTTCCTTGTTGTCATGCTTTTCATGCTGAATGCTTGGAGCAGACAACGCCGAAAACTAGGAAAAGTGAACCTCCATGCCCTGTGTGTGTCAAACTGGAGGAGGAAAATTCCCCTGACCAACGGGGGCATTTGAGGCTTCCGAGGCTGAAATCGTCTCGTGATGAGGGACCATCAAGACCTTGGGGATGTGTACAGGTAGGTGATTGTGTTGAAGGGGCTCTGCATGCGCCGCCGCGCAACACCATGTTCCTGCTTAACCGGAATCGTATTAAGAAGAACCTTTCTTTGAAGGGTAATATAAGCAAGGAATTTCCAGGTAAGGTGAGGAAAAGTGGGTCATATTCTTCACAGATGTTTGGTGGAAGCTCAGTTGGTTGCTCAAAGGCAAGTGAAGGGCCAAGTGTGTGGAGGTAAGTTATAGCTTACCCCCAGAGATTTACAGAAGCTGACTCTCCTACTATGTTGAGCAAAATTTTATGACACTGATTCCTAACTTGTTCCTCATTTTGTATAGATTCATATGTTGTATGTGTTTCGAAACTCACTTGGAACTTTATCTTATTTTGTCTGATTTATGAACTAAATACTCTCAGAGTTACTGTTAGATATCATGCAAATGGAAATTCTCACTTTTTTCAAAGCATAATAATAAGGAAGTAACAAAAACTTGTAGCTTTTTTGGAACGGGCGTTTGGAGTTGTAACTACAAAACAAGCACACTCTTAATATTTGAAAAGTTCAAAATTAGCTCACTCACCAAATAGCCAAAGTTTACAGTTCTAGTTCTTGAGTAGTTCAAAAATTTGTAGCGTATTTAGTTCTGCTTCTTCTAGTGAATGTGATATGAAGGTTTTTCTTAATCATATTATTGCTGTGAAGTATCTATTAATTTTGTTGATGTTTAACTCCTACCAGAAAATTTGTTTAGTCACCTTTGGTGGTGTTTCTCCACTTATTTATGTTTTACAAAGTCTGATTCTGCGTTGTGAGAAGCAACAGTGCTAGAACAAATGTGAATGAAGTTATTGAGAGCCTATCTAGTTATAATCAAACTTTTCATGTACATTCTGATGTAAAATTTATAAGTGGGAATAAATTTGAACACATCTTAAATTATCTTAAACGGTTTAAAATTAATGCTAACAGGAAATTTTATTGAAATAATTAGCATTGATGCGGTTGGCCCAAATTATAGTAGAACCTAGTCACGCATGCTTGCTCACTTCTTTCAAATGTTGTTCCTTGGTGGCATGAGCAATTCTCTCACTTTTTTTTTCCTTCTTAATTTAAATGCACTAATACTCTGTCTTGGATGAGGTCCATCACATTGGTGGCCTTAATTTATCAGATTATGTATATCTGAATGTGTTATTTTTGGCCCATACTCAACTCAGGCTTACTTCATCTTGTAGTCTAAAATCGTTCTCCAAAAAAGAAAAATAATTTTGTGGCCTACAAATTTGTGTGAGAAGAACGTTGTGGAACGTAGAGACTTATGTTGACCTACCTTATTGGCGGACATTTTGGTTGGGTGGATGGAAAATGAGAGGAAAGAAAAAAATATTGAATTTCAAACCGAAGAAAAAATGGGAAAAAAAAAGTTTAATCTTTGTTTATGTAAGTCAACTTTTTTTTTTTATAAAAAAAAACTATTTTCCTTCCATTTTACCTTTAACCAAACAAAAATATATATATTTTTGTGTTTGTTTCTTTCTATTTTTTTCCTTTCATTTTCACATCTTCCAAACATAGGGTTAGATTCAGATACTTAGATAATAAGAAAACAATTTATTTAGCTTCCCACGGGCAAAGAAAAAGAAAATTCCCAAGATTCTTTCAAAAATTTGTAGACTAATACTGTTTATAATTTTTTCTTGTGCTTTCTTAACCATGCTCAACTAATTTGTCTGAGTACATTAATTGGGATTTAATTTTGTTAAACTATGATTGAGTCACAAATCAGTGAATCACAATATAATTTGTGTATTAAATTACTTCTAGTTTTAAATAAAAAAGTAAAAGGCAGATAAATTATTCTACCAGCAAGACAAAATAAATCTTAAAGACGCTTATACAAACAAAGATCACTATCAAGGATTGAATTAAAATTTACTGCAACAAAATTATTTAATATTTTTTAACTGATATATCATGGGATCCTGTTTCTCATGAACTGAAGTAAATGATTTCAATTGTTCAAGAAAAAATAATAATTCATATTTCGTGTATATAAATAATAAATCATTAATTTATTTGAACATCATGTATTGATTTTCTCACCAACTAGTATGATATTCACTTTAGATGAGTGAAATCTTATATTAAATGAATCTAACTCCAAAAGAAAGATTTAAGTCTTAAAGTAAGATGTGAAAGTGAGGAAGTAAAAAATATATTATTTAATTAATTTAAAGTGAGTGAAAAATGTATAAATACTTTAACTAAAATCAACCATAGGTACATTCTTATTTTTTTACTTCATGCATTTCTTTACTTTACTATCAACGAATGATTGTCACCCTCCTAGTATAAAAGAAAAACTGACCACTTGTAAGGTACACCACATGATTGCATATTTGCATTTAACCCTAGAAGAAAGACAAAAAAAAAAAAAATCTTATGTACTTTCTCAACATTACTCATCCAAAGTTGTACACCTTACTTGAAGATGAAGATGGTACATCTCTTTAGACCAAAGATCTCACTCCACACAACGTGGGCCTAACCAAATATAGTACACATAATAAGTTAAATTTTGTGATTACCAAGAGAGAGATGTTAAAAACACAAAACAGAGTAAGCAAAATGTGGCCACATTATTATTTCTCTGTTTTTCATAAATTGGTCTTGTGCTTGAGGTTTAGGGTACTCATATAATATGTTACACCAAAAGGGTTAACTTAACACCATGGAATGAGTAACTATCATCCCCGTAGCATTTATATATATATGGACCAACTATAGTACCATAGTATCTTGTTATTCCCCACAACCTAATAGTAAAAGGACCCCCATGGCCTAGTTTCTCAAACCATTCAAATTTTTGAAGGGTTTTTATACCGTATGCTGGCTGACTAGGCCGAATACCCGAGTTCGTGGCCGACTAGGCCGAATACCCGAGTTCATGGACGACCAGGTCGAATACCCGAGCCCACTGACCACTCACAATCTGAACGAAACGTGTCGATGTGCTCGGCCAAGTCACGGATTTACGCCAGGAAATCTAACAATCATTAATCCATTTAAATATTAATCATGTTATTTTTATTTAATGGTGGATATATTCACCTTACTTATTGGGAATACCCTGCTCCGTATATCATTGTGGTTGTTTTCCGACACCATGAATCACACCTCACCATACATCATATATCATACATACATAATCTAAAAATTTAACTTTAAACATGCATAAGCATCAATTCATTCATAAACTTATTCACGCTCGGCGTAGCCTAAGCTCGCCCAGCCCAATCCCAGCCTGAGAGTCCCAAGACTCATCCACGCCTAGCGCATTCAACCTGCGCCCGGCCTAAATTCCAATAACAGAGTTCACAAACTCTCATCCAAACCAACAAATCCAGTCACATGCAAACACAAAACACAATACATAGGCTCCATACAACTTAAATAAACCTAGAATCAACATGCACCCATCTGATGCATCAAATTCACCAGAACTGCAATCAGGCCTATTCAGATTAAGCTACCAAATGGCTCTGCTGTGCTTGCTAAGTTCTCAGGAACTATTAGACTCTCTAGGGATTTTGTGCTCTATGATGTTCTCTATGTACCTGAATTCAAATACAATTTAATTTCCATTCCCAAACTTACTAAGACAATTAAATGCAAACTAATCTTTGATGATTTACATTGTGTGATTCAGGATATGACTACCTTGAAGATGATTGGGCGTGCTGATGTTCAAAATTGCTTATATGTTCTTAGCCAACCTACCAAGCTTCAAGTACCAAATCAACACATAATCAACTCCATTATAGCTAAAAACCCCACTGTACCTTTCTTTGATTTGTGGCATTTTAGATTAGGTCACCCCTCCATTCTAGTATTACAAAATATATGTAAACATTTCCTTTTTATTAAGTTTGATTCAATGAAAGTGTGTGATTACTGTCATTTGGCAAAACAATCCAAACTCCCTTTTCCCCCTGGTATTCATAAAAGTTCTGCACCTTTTGATCTTATTCATATGGATATATGGGGACCATTAGCCATTTCTTCCATTCAAGGCCATAAATACTTTCTCACTATTGTAGACGACTTCACAAGACACACATGGTTGTTCCTTATGAAATCTAAACATGAAACCAGAATTTTAGTCAAGAATTTCATTACTCTTGTCCAAACTCAGTTTAATAAAAGAATAAAAATCCTTAGAACCGACAATGGGCTTGAATTTTCCATGTCTTCCATCTATCAGGATTTAGGTATAATTCATCAAACATCTTGTGTGGAAACACCACAACAAAATGCAGTTGTTGAAAGGAAGCACAAACACATTTTGAATGTCACTCGATCCCTTTTATTTCACTCAAAATTACCTAAATCATTCTGGAGTTTTGCAGTCAATCATGCTGTTTTTTTTATTAACCGATTACCCTCTCCTGTCCTAAACCAACTAAGTCCTTTCCAGCTACTATACAACACCAAACCTAACCTAAATGACTTGAGATTTTTTGGTAGTTTATGCTTTGCATCCACATTACAACAACATAGAACCAAACTTGATCCTAGAGCCAAAAAGTGTTTATTCCTTGGTTTCAAACCAGGAACCAAGGGATACATTGTATTTGACCTTCAAACCAGAGAAATCTCCATTTCTAGGAATGTGATATTTTATTAGCACATATTCCCCTTCATTCCTGACAAAGTTCCTGATTTTTCCTCCCTTAACCTGCCAAATAACAGTACATCACACTCCTACATTGACTCACTAGATTTTCTCACCTTTCACAAGCCTTCCCCTACACCACAACAACAAATCTCACAAGAACCATCAGCCACTTATCAAGTTCCATCATCCTCTCACACCATGCCTAACCAATCCGTGACAACCTCCCGTCCTGCTCATTCACCTCAGCAATCACCTCCTTTGCCACTTAGAAGATCACAGAGAATACCTTTTCCACCTACCTACCTCAAGGACTTCCATTACAATTTTCTTACATCATCACCTGAGTTGTCCAAAGGTATTTCTCATCCTCTTTCTTCTGTTATAAATTATAACACATTGTCATCATCACATTTGCATTATGTCTTATCTCTTTCCACTCATGAGGAGCCTAAGTTTTATCAGAACATGCGCCGACGCCGAGCAATCCTCGGTCGATCACTCAAAACGTACATTCGACCCCGACATGTTTCCCTCCCGAGTACCCTCCTTGGCTAAGGATGTACCTAAGCCGACCACTACGACACGCGCTTACGCTGAGAACCCTCGGCCGACCACTCAAACCGCACTCGTGCCAGACAAATTTCCTTCCTGAGTACCCTCCTCGGCTAAGGATGTACCTAAGCCGAGCACTACGACACGCGTCGAGGCCGAACACGCTTCGGCCGAACACTCTCAAGACGAGCACTCTCGCGGATCAAATACCCCGCGTATCAAAATCGCATGATCCGACTCTGAGGCCGAGAACGCTTCGGCCGAACACTC